CACCTTTGTCATGTTTCCCGTGTGTTTATTGCCAAACCTGGAGACCTCCCAGCATTACAACTGATCCTCAGTCTACAGAGATCAGTTCCCCTGGCGGATATGGCTGCCGTGGAGGGTGGACTCTGTGGCCTTTCCCCCCCGCTGAGGTCCCTCCTTTCGCCAAGCCCTGCCATTCCCGCACCCCCGAATCTCCAGGAATTTCCCAGCCAGGAGAAACTGACTGGTGAAACGTGACTGGCACATGAGCTCATATGGGGGGAGCTCTCGTGAGCCGGAGGTGTGGGTCCCAGTTTGCAGGGGGCTTCCAAAGTGAGAATCAGTCTGTCGAACTGGGCTTGGAATCAAATGGGCAGCCGGTAGAATTGCTTTGGAGCCAGGTCTTACTCGTTCCCATCGCTTGGCGCCGATAACTGGTGGGTCGCTGTGGGCTGTGTCCCCTGCAGTTTCCGAGTTATCTTTCGCAGCTTCCTCTCGCAAAGCACGTTAGAGGAATCACTCTGAGACTACCAAAACGATCCCCTCCTGTTTCCCTTGGCATTTTTCAAGGGTGGGGGGAATGAACCAATCTTTGGTGGAAACGGAAGGTGTGGGTCAGGTGATGAGTTGCAGGCTGTTTTGCAAATGGCTGAGCTGAGGCGGTGTTTCAGAATGTTCACAAACATTCTAGCTGCTCAGGGGCAGTGAAAACAAGGGCGAGTGACTAAAATGTACAAGCCAGGTGTAATTCCAAAGTGTCTGTCCTTGTTCTCACACAGACCAAAGTTAGCGCAACTCCTGGATCTGCCTTCTTCTGAGTCAGGCCCCTGTCGTCTGCCAAGGCCAGTCTTACCTTCTTCTCACTGGCAGCGGCTCTCCAGGGTCTCAGGCAGGAGGTCTGTCTCATCACCTCTTCCTGATCCTGAGAGCCAGTTTGGTGTAGTGGTTAAGTGCGCGGACTCTAATCTGGGAGAACCGGGTTTGATTCCCCACTCCTCCACTTGCACCTGCTGATGTGACCTTGGGTCAGTCACAAGCTCTGGCACAGCTGTCCTTGAAAAAGAGCAGTTTACTCCTGGATCTGCCTTCTTCTGAGTCAGGCCCCTGTCGTCTGCCAAGGCCAGTCTTACCTTCTTCTCACTGGCAGCGGCTCTCCAGGGTCTCAGGCGGGAGGTCTGTCTCGTCACCTCTTCCTGATCCTTAACTGGAGATGCCGGGGATTGAGTCTGGGGTGCTCTGCATGCCAAGCAGTTGCTCTTACCTCTCTGAGCCACAGCCCCATTAGACAGTAACTTATGCTACTGTGTCCATTTTATTTCTTGTTTTTTAAAAAAAGCGTTTCCTTTCCGATTATGTTTTGGAAAACATATTTCACTCGTCGCTATCAAAACCGACATAAGTAACCAAAGCAAATACACACATCACAAATAAAGCTGCAAGCCTTGGAATGAGATGTCTGGAGGTGGGTTTCTGTGGAACCCCGAAGCGTCCCTCCCACGGCAAGAAGAAAACGGGATCCAATAACTCTCCTCCTTTTTGAGAAAATCTAATTTATTACTTTATTATTTATTACTTTATTATTTATTACTTTATTATTGCTGGGAAAGATTGAAGGTCAAAGAAGACAGGGACGGCAAAGGATGAGATGGTTAGACAGGGTCATAGATGCAACGAACATGAAATTGAGCCAACTTCAGAGGACGGCAGAAGACAGGAAGGCCTGGCGGGATCTGGTCCATGGGGTCGCAAAGAGTCGGACTCGACTGTGCGACTGAACAACAACAACAATTTATTACTGTCTGCGCTCCCGTCTTCCCCCTTTCCTCCTGGGTCTGGGGTGCGGCTACACGTGAGCAGCCAGATACGGTTAGTCCGTAAGGGAAAGGGGTAAAGCGCCTGCCGGTCTCTTCTTTCTTCCCGCCCAGGAGTCCAAGTCCTTCGCGGTGGGAATGTTCAAGGGCCAACTCAACACCGAGCAGGTCTTCCCTTATCCTTCGGGTAAGTTGGGGGCCATGAGGGCCGGGGTGGGATTTCTGCAATCGCCAGATGTCTTACTTGTTTCCTGAGACTTTTTTTTGGCTCTTCCCATGAGAACACATGATGCTGCCTTATACCAAAGTAGTGAATTTTGTAAAAGGGGATATGGGCAAAGGGACTGTGCTTGCTGGTAGTCACCGACCTGTTCTGTGAAAGCAGGGCAGTGTTGCCAACCTCCAGGTTGGGCCTGGAGACCCTCCCCCCCCCCCAACAAGCAGGAACTCATTAGCATAATAGGCCACACCCAACAGCAGAAACTCATTAGGATTGGCTACATTAGGGGTGTGTGGCCTAACATGCAAAGGAGTTCCTGCTACAAAAAAAGGCCCTGGGTTTTGACCACAAACAAGGTAAACAGAATAACAAGCAAAAGGTGGGTGTGGCTGGATGACCACACTTCCGGTGACATGGGGTGTGGCCTAATGTGCTAATGAGCTGTGCTTTCAGGGGTGTGGCCTACTATGCTAATGAGTTTCTGATGTTGGGTGTGGCCTGTTATGCTAATGAGTTCCTGCTGGGCTTTTTCTACAAAAAGAGCCCTGCATAGAACAGTTCTCTTGGAGGAAATGGCTCCCTTGGAGGGTGGATGAGACCCATGGACCCATCACAGCCGGTATTGTCTGCTTGGACTGGCAGCAGCTCTCCAGGGTCTCAGGCAGAGAAAGGTCTTTCACATCAGCTCCTGCCTGGTCCTTTTAACCAGAAATGCCAAGGGTTGAACCAGGGACCTTCTGCATGCCAAGCAGAGGCTCTACCGCTGAGCCACGGCCTCTCCCCAATCTTATGAACACAGATGAAGCTGTCTTGTACGAAAGCAGACTCTTGGTCCATCACTTTCAGTACTGTCTACTCAATCCGGCAGCCACTTTCCAGGATCTCAGGCACAGACAGGTCTTTCCCATCCCTGAGAGCCAGTTTGGTGTTGTGGTTAAGTGCGCGGACTCTAATCTGGGAGAACCAGGGTTGATTCCCCACTTCTCCACCTGCAGCTGCTGGATGACCTGGGGCAAGCTACAGTTCTGTCAGAGCTGTTCTCTCGAGGACAGTTCTGGAGAGAATTCTCTCAGCCCCACCTACTTCTCCGGGTGTCTGTTGTGGGGGAGGGGAAGGGAAAGGAGATTGTAAGCCGCTCTGAGACTCCAAGTAAAGGGCGGGGTATAAATCCAATCTCCTCTTCTCTTCTTCACCTCCTACCTGGTGCTTTTAACTGGAGCTGCCAGGGATTGAACCTGGGACCTTCTACAGGCTAAGCAGATGCTCTGCCACTGAGCCATGGCCTCTCTCTAATCATGTGTTTTCCAAATATTCCTCATGAGGACTAGTTGCTTAAACCTGACGGGGGTGTGTGTAACCAAGACCCAAGTGTTTTAGTACTCTCTTTAGTAGGGAAGGAAGTATAAGTATGTTTGTGTGCCAAATGAAATAAAAATGGGGGGAGGGGTTACTGGGAAAAGCCAGTAAAACCCTTGTCTGTATAACAGCTCGACTGGAGTTCAGTAACCCTTAGGGACCAACAAGATTCTTGGGGTATGAGATCTCAAGAGTTAAAGCTTCCTTCATCAGATACAAGTAGGAATGGAGATCTCCAAGTTCTTCTATCGCAGTCAGAACGTAGGAGGGGTGTTGCAAAGAAGGCGCTCAGGTTGCAGAGGTGTGCAGAACACACTGTAATCACGCCCTGACCTGGATAGCCCAGACAAGCCCGATCTCATCAGATCTTGGAAGCTAAGCTGGGTCGACTGTAGTTAGTCCTTGGATGGGAGACCTCCTTGGAATACCAGCAGTCGGGAGGCGGGGGCAGGCTTTATTCAGCCACCTCTCTGAATATCCTCCAGGTCCCCAGTAGGGGGTCAGTCACCAGAGGTCAACGTGACTTCCAGGTGCGCGCACACATGGACACAAAAATATCCAACCCACATTGTAATCACCTTGATTAGAGCAGGGAAGAAATGCTGAGGAGCAGAAAATTAGCATCTATAGTGAGATGAGAAATCCCTGTCTGCTGAGTTACCTCACTAGGACGATGCCCTCTGGCGCTGTGCCCTGGGGAAGCAGATCTTGTGTATCAGGCCCTTAGAGGTCCCCACCGTAAATAGATGTGTCTGATAATCGAATCCAGCTTGGGCTCTGAGCTGGCTTGGGACCTCAAACGGTTCCGGCATAGCAAGAGGAGTTGTGGAGATTGTATCAGTGTCCTGGGCGGGAGGTATATGTGAGGTCTTGAACATCAGAGGTGCCAGACTCCTCCAGTAAAGGGATACTGTCTGTCCTGAATCTTTTGTCCATCAGTTTCGTTGGGTGGAATTGAACGGTTGAGTTCTACTATTTTGGATGAGGGGGGAAAAGCTCTCTTCGTCCTCTCCCTCCACCCCACACATAATTTTTACAACCTCTGTCATGTTCCGTTTAGCAAAGTTCTCTTTTTTCTAAATCGAAAAGTCTCTGGCTCTCCAGCAAGGCTCCCTCTAAGCTGCGGAGTCGGGTGAGCGAAAATTCTCTTTTGTGAGCTGCTGGCATTAAAGTTGTGAGCGAGCGATTGGGCTCCTGCATAAATCAGTTTGCTCTGGAGCCCCCTCCTTCCCGAGCCAAGACAAAAAGTGAGCCAGAGGCTAAAAAACTGTGAGCTAGCGCACACTAACTCAGCTTAGAGGGAACACTGGTCTCTGGCCTTTCCTCGTAGGGAAGGGGCTCCAGCCCTCGTAATCATCTTGGTTGCCCTCTTCTGCCCATTTCCCAACCATGGCATTTCTTTTTGGAGTATTCCACATGCGCCTTCTGCCAAATCAGGCCACACTGTCAGCCATGTTCCCTCTAAGCTGAGTTGGTGTGAGCCAGCTCACAGTTTTTTAGCCTCCAGCTCACCCATTTTTGTCTTTGCTCAGGAAGGAGGGCTCCAGAGCAGACTAATTGATGCAGCAGCCAAATTTGCTTGTAACTCTTATGCCCGTACCTCACAGAGTAGAATTTTTGCTCACAAGACTCCACATCTTAGAGCAGTGATGGTGAACCTTTTAGAGACCGAGTGCCCAAACTGTGACCCAAAACCCACTTATTTTTCTCAAAGTGCCGACACGGCAATCTATATACTAATAGCCAAGTTGCCCCC